CAGCGTGTGGGGAGGGGGAGGAGGAGGAGGAGGAGGAGGCAACACAAACCTACTGCTGCACACGTGGAGGAGGGAAGGGACTCCCATCATGCGAGGACAGCCAGTTCACACTGGATCTCAGGATATCAATCCTGCTGCATCAAAAGTGAGTAAATTGGAGGGTGGAGAAAATATGTAAATTGTTATTTATATATGTGTGTGTCTGTGTGTACATGAGGTTGTGCATATGTTTGTGTATGTCAGTGTGTATGTGTACCTGTGTGTAATTGTATGTGTACTTGTGTGTCAGTGAGTACTTATGTGTATCTGTGTGTATGTGTACCTGTGTGTATGTGTACCTATGTGTACCTGTGTGCATGTGTGTGTGTGTGTGTGTATGTGTACCTGTGTATGTGTACCTATGTGTATGTGTACCTATGCGTATGTGTACCTGTGTGTGTATGTGTACCTGTGTGTGTATGGGTACCTATGTGTACCTGTGTGTGTACGTGTGTGTGTGTGTGTACCTATGTGTATGTGTACATGTGTATGTGTACCTGTGTGTGTGTGTGTGCATGTGTATGTGTACCTGTGTGTGTACCTATGTGTTTGTATCTGTGTGTACCTGTGTATGTGTACTTGTGTGTATGTTTACTTGTGTGTATGTTACTTGTGTGTATCTGTGTATTTGTGTCACTTTGTTGACAATCACTTTGCTCCTCCGCTTCTCCCCTGCATGTGGCGTGACGTCTCGGACAGAGACAGTCACGCTAGGGCCTCACTGTGACTGCGCTGGCAGTCTCCACCTCCCTCCCATGTGTGCAGCCATTCCAACGCGTGGTGTACACAGGAGCACACAGGTATGCCAGCCCCTCGGCCAGCTACACACAGCAACCCTCAGCACCCCCAGCCCAATAACCCACAAAGCCTCCCCTTCGCCACCCACAAAGCCTCCCCTCTGGCACCACCAGCCACCCACAAAGCCTCCGCTCAGCCACCTACACAGCCCCCCCAGCATCTACTTTTATATATATATATTAAAAAAAAAAAAATATATATATATATATATATATACATATATATAAAATTTAAACCAGCCATATATATATTCTATAAACAGCTATATAATTGTGTGTTTACATATATATATATATATATATATATGTGTGTGTGTGTGTGTGTATGCATGTGTGTGTATATATGTGTGTGTGTGTGTGTATATCTGTGTGGTGTGTATATATATATATATATATATATATTTACACACACACACATATATATATTGTGTGTGTGTGTATACATATATATGTGTGTGTGTTTTGTTTTTGTTTTGGGGTGGAGTTGGGGGGAAGGGGTTGGATTGATGCCATGGAGGGGTGGCGGGATCCACGGGGCCCAAGCAGATGCTTGCCCAGGGTCCAATCACTACTAAAGACTACAATCACTACTAGGCAGAAATGTAAACACTGCCTTTCTCTGAAAAGTCAGTGTTTACATTAAAAGGCGTGCAGGGACAGGATAAAGACTCCAAAACAACTACATTAAATTGTAGTAGTTCTGGTGACTACAGTGTCCCTTAAAATTTTTATTTTTGACGTTGAAAACTTTACTCCTGACTTTTTCAGCTGGCTTCTAGATTCCAATTAAATTTGTAAAGCCCTGGTGACGTTGTATGGGATGGTAATCCCATCGATGTATGCAAAACGTGCTTGATACATGAATTACAACTATATCCGCTATAAAACCAGGAAAAAGTGGGCATGGAAGGTGAGCTGGTTCGGTGGTGCAATGGGCCACTTGACTGGATTTGCCCCCCAGGCCTAAGGCTGCCAGCCCTCCCCTGTTGACAACTTATGCTTTGCTATAACTCGACACATGTCAACTCACATATGTACATTGACATGCCATCACATGCTATATTTCTATCTTGCCAGGATAGGTTAAATGATCTTAACATATATAGCTTGGAGGAAAGACGAGACAGGGAGGATATGATAGAAACATTTAAATACATAAAGGGAATCAACACAGTAAAGGAGGAGACTATATTTAAATGAAGAAAAACTACCACAACAAGAGGACAGTCTTACATTAGAGGGGCAAAGGTCTAAAAATAATATCAGGAAGTATTACTTTAATGAGAGGGTAGTGGATGCATGGAATAGCCTTACAGCTGAAGTGGTAAAGGTTAACACGGTGAGGGAGTTTAAGCATGGGTGGGATAGGCATAAGGCTATCCTAACTATAAGATAAGGCTAGAGACTAAAGAGAGTATTTTAGAAAATTGGGCAGATTAGATGGGCCGAATGGTTCTTATCTGCCGTCACATTCTATGTTTCTATGGTATGCATGAGAGTAGCGTGGTGAAAGACTGGCATATTTTATTGATATAACGATGAAGTAGGTCAGCCATTGCGCACTACCCAGTGATACCCCAGAAAATACCGGGAGAGGAAAAGAGGACCTGTGAGCTATTGTTCACGATAAAAGGGAACGTTTAGAAAGGAAATTCACAGTATAGGTGATGGCATTAGGTATCGCAGGATTTAGCGCTTCCATGTGTATTTAAATTGCTAGCATATGATAGATCATAAATCACAGGCATATTCATTCCAGCTCTTCTCATGTAGTCCCTTTTACTTTCTTTGTAGAGGTTGTAATGATCAGCTTAGTTCTGGACCCTCCTCCTTTGTAATCATTTGTTTAGTTAAGCAATCATTACTGTCTCTTTGAGTCTGTTGCCACTTCTGCAAAGTATGTGTAATTTGCTGTTGGAGCACAAGAACATATTTCTCCCCGTACAGACACTTCATCTCCCCTTCTGTTCTTTGTTACGTTTGATATATTTGGTACAACTTCAGCAAATATCCCTTCAAATGTTCTTCAAACAGAAAAACAGTTCTACCAGAAATATAATCCTACAATTATATAATCTACAAGGAGCATTCACCCTGATTGTTATTCTGGTAGACATTCTCACGACATCATTTCAGAAGAAAGAGTCGGGAGAACAAGTCTGCAAAAAGAAAAGAGTATGTCTGTGTGCCCTTAAAACGCCATGCCCTCCCCAACCACTGAGTATTCTGCTTATGAGCAAAAATACCCATCCAATCCACAGCTGCATTCATTCATTGGTTAAAGGAACATTGCAGGTACCAGCACAACATTAATAGATTTTATAGATTGTCACCCAAATAGTTAGGTGCAAGGTTTTTTGTTTTTTTTGCATGTGTAATGTTGCACAGTTTTTGCAAACAGGAAAATAGTTTTTACTGCATTCTGCACATGGTCCCTGCCTCCTATGCCCCTCCCACCTCCTCTGTTCTAAGCTACATCCTGCTTGCTGGTTAATGTACTTGTGTACTCATCCCTGAGCGGTTTATTCAGTAACATAGCTGTTCATGGCTGTTCGTGGCATCAGGAGTTACAGCAAATGTTTCTGGCAGTTGAAGCTCAGCTAACAATTTTCATTATGAGAAACCTGATTAATATACTGCAACCTCTAGTGTGATGGGATTTTAGCTAGGCCCAAAATTTAGTAGGCCTAAATCTCCATGTGGCATATACAAGTACAGGTATCTGTGAGTTAGTTATGTGTAGCTAAGATAATGTCATCAATGTACTGAGCATGTGCTAGATTTAAAAAACCACATTCCATTCTCCTCAAGTGCCTCGTTGCCGAACCATATAAGGTAATACTGTAAATACTGTTTGCTGATCGGTGTAAGGGTATAGTAGGGGGATGCATACTGTATAAAAAGCCTGTACTCTATGTGCTCAGGGTTCAGACATTTTGGACATGAGTTCAGCTGAGACCCGATCGGTGATAATAAAGACCTTTGCTTCCTGAACTAACCTGTGTCCAAACTCTCTGTGTGGCTTTTCAGAGTTCCCCTATAACATTTCTGGTGCTTATTGGCCTGGAAGTCATCACTGAGACCACCGAGATGGTGATATTTTACCCACCTCTCCACTGCAACACCACTGGGCCTTCTTCGTCCAGGAGACCATCGGCTTCTGCGCAGTGGGTATTGGGGTGTCCCGTCAATGAATTCCGATCCCGGGTCCAGGAACTGAAGGTAAACCTATTAGGGGTTAAATCTTTATCTGGTATCTGACCTTTCCCAATTGTAAAGAAGAGGGGGCTTATCACCTTCTTAAGCTAAACGCTCTGTAGCTAGCCCGTGTAGCAAAGGGTCTGTTTGTCCGGCTGAATTCTGGTGTATAAATGTTCAGTCGGAATTTTGGTTTCTGGACTAGTTGAACTCTGTTGTAAATTCCGTTTACTAGATCTCGGATTCTGGAGTGAGTAGACTAGTTGAATTCTGTTGTAAATTTAGTTCACTAGATCTCGAAGTGTGGAGCTATTTGATTAACTGAACTCCAGTATAAGTTCTGTTCAGTTTAGAACATAGTCTCCAAAATACTGTTTAGTTAAACCCTGATGTGTATATATATTGTTTAGCTAAATTCTGACCTATAAAGTTAGCGTTTGGCTGATATATATTGGTTAGCAGACCATTGAAGTGTATTGTTTAGCTAGATTCTGGTGTTAATATTGTCTAGCTAAGCTCCGGTTCATAATGTGTATGTCTTGCTAAATTTTGATGTATATGCTGTTTAGCGGACTTTTGAAGTGTAGATAGTGTTTAATTACGCATGACACCATAACAACTGACACCATAACCAATGACACCAAACCACTGACTATTTATACAGGGTTGTAGTAATATTGGGCGATCGGGTGGTTTAGAGGTTGATTAACTGTATAGATAATTGTATAGCTTATGGACACTCACCCTGAAAATGACCTCCTCTTACTTCTCCTCCCGAGCTAGATCCGGTGCAACTGGTTTCCACTCTCCCTGCTCCATTGTCCCGCCTACCCACACACCTATCTAAGATGCCAGTCCTCTTGCTATAACCCCTCCAAAGAACCCCCACTAGTATGTGTAAGAGTGGCCGCTGAAAGCCATTGTATCTTTGCTTTCCAATGGGAAGATTCTGTTACGGGATCAAAGCGCCAGATGACCTGGACCAGGTTACCACAAGGGTTTAAGAATTCACCCACTCTATTTGGATCTGCATTAAGTCAAGATTTACAAGATTTCAAATCCATCCCAGGGAAATGTGTACTGCTCCAGTATGTGGATGATCTTTTAATAGCCGCAATCACCAAAAAGATGTGTCAACAAGCAACTTATGAACTTCTCCACATCCTATGGAAGGCAGGATACAAGGTATATAGGAAGAAGGCACCAAAGTGTCAGTCAACTGACAAGTATTTAGGATTCCATATTTCAGAGTGTCAAAGAACAATGGGGTCTGAAGAAAAGAAGCTGTATGCCGCATACCTACACCACAGAATAGAAGACACGTTCGAGAATTCTTGGGAGCAGCTGGATTCTGTAGGATATGGATTCCAGACTATGCGATACTGGCAAAACCACTGAGGCTATAAAAGGCACAGAACATTATCCCTTCCTGTGGACTACAGAGCAACAGAAGTCATTTGAGGAAATCAAGAAAGCACTTATGAGTGCCCCAGCCCTCGGCCTACCAGACCATACCCGCCCTTTCTTCCTCTATGTACATGAGCAAAGGAAAATGGCTGTAGGAGTGTTGACATAATACTTGGGATCATGGCAACGACCTGTAGCATACATGTCTAAGCAGGTGGATGCAGTGGCTAGTGGCCTCCCACCTTATTTACGAGCAGTAGCGGCCACAGCTTTGTTGGTAGCGGAGGCCGATAAACTCACATTGGGTCAAGTACTCTGTGTTCCTCAAGCAGTACAGACTCTATTGGATTACAAAGCTAGCCATTGGTTCAGCAACAATAGAATGACTAAGTACCAAGCTATGTTATGTGAAAATCCAAGACTACATCTTGAGACTGTCAACAATCTTAACCCAGCTACCCGATTGCCACAAGCCACTGAAATTCAACATGACTGTCTGGAAATAATGGTATTCTCTAGCAGGCCTGATCTCCACAATTTCTCAATCCAGAATCTGGATATACACTACTATGAGGATGGTAGCAGTTTTGTTCGAGGAGGAATCCGCTATGCAGGTTATGCAGTAACCACCATAGACCAGGTGATAGTAACACGGCCATTGTCAAAAGGAGCATCAGCATAGAAAGCAGAATTAATCACACTAACAAGGGCTTTGCAGCTATCTGAGGGACTGAGAGTAAATATTTACACCAACTCAAGATATGCCTTCCTAACAGTTCATGCCCATGGAGCATTATAAAAGGAAAGAGGACTCCTAAATTCAGAGGGGATTTCAGTATGCAGCTGAGATACTTCAACTGTTGGAGGCAGTATGGCAGCCAAAGGAAGTCAGTATTATACATTGCAGAGCACATCTGAAAGGTGACAGTGATGTAGTACGAGGCAATAGTATGGCAGATAGTGCTGCCATACAAGCTACACAATCAAAACAGGAAGATGATAACTTGAGTTACACTATTGCTCTTATACCGGCACCTTTGTCCCAATGGACTCTGGAGTAAAAAACTCAGAAGGAGTGGCTGAAAACTGAACCTGGTAAATACTTAGAGATTAATTGGTATCAGTTAGAAGATGGAAGAATAGTTATTCCTGCATCTCTGGCCATAGAAATTCTTCAGAACTTTCATAGCGGTACACACTCGGAAAGAGATAATATGGAAGACTCTCTCAGCAAATTTCTATATACCAGGATTATCTAATCTTACCCATGCTATTGCCAGAAGATGTTTACAGTGCACCCATAATAATGCAAGACAAGCCTCCTGGAGTTCAATATATGGGAGGACTTCCCATGTCAGACCTACAAGTAGACTACACGGTTATGCCAAAATCTGGAGAGTATTGTTACCTGCTGGAAGCGCTGTAATGGTGGCGGAAGTGACTCCCTGGATCCATCACTCTAGGGTTAAACCAGCGGCAGATTCTTGGCAAGCTACCCCCGATCCTGAGAATTCTTGTAAGATTCTGTGGAAGTGAACTACCCGGTCCCTGAAGCTTCATTAATGTGACATAAGGAAGTACGAAATGATTTTCAAAAACCGTGGTTGCGAAAGATATCAGAGAGAATCAAGTAGGTGTTTTGACGGCCATAATAAAGCCTGACCACCTACCAATGTCCCATAGCCAGAGTGTCTCGAAGGGACCTTTGTAAAGGGAAGAGAGGATCAGACGGACAACATTCCCTACAGCCGTCAGAAGCGGGAATCTGAGGTGCCGTCGCACGGTTGAAAATGTGGATGAAGACTTCCATCATAATGTATTTTTTTTGTGTGTTTTAGTGTTTTTACTATATATATACAGAATGCAAAGGTGATGACATACCAGGCTGTGATAGTTTTATTAAGAATACAAAAACAAGTAACCAGACATCCTAAACTCTTATTTGGCACTTGCATTATGAATGTAAAGGATCTGTGTCTAAATGCAGATACTTAGACACTGATTATAGTGTGTGTCAGACAGTTTCAGGTGAACGCAAGTGCTTTAATCCCCAGTTCTAACCCCATACAATCTGGCTGGTTCTTCGAAATGCCTACTCTCAGGGGGCATTGATAAATAAAACTTCCCTAGGCATCCTACTATTCGATGCATGCAAAGCAATTTCTGGTAGTGGAAAACCATGGAGCATATGTGGTAACCTTAAGTGAGAATGAACCTATGGGTTTATGATAAATACCTTGGGAGCCCTAGTAGAAGAACCACTGATCCCGATTGTCCAAATAGGGACTTCCACTTTTGCCCATACTGGTCATGTGGGTAACCTGGGGAAAAACAGTAGACCAAGACCTGATAATTCTGATGTTATCTACTACTCCTCATTGTAAATCAATGGAGTGTAATCCTGTACACATGACAATTTCTAACCCCCAGAAATGTATTAATAAGTTTGGGAATCTTTTCAGTTTCCAAATATATGGTACAGGGAGTCATCCTATATCTAGGCCTTGAAACCGAGACCCTGAATGCCCAAACTCATCAGGTATTCAATTCCTTTAATGAGGAGATGAGTGTTGAAGATGAAGTTCCCCACACTGTTAAAAACCTGTTCATCAATCTGGCTGAGAGTATTGCAAGTTGTCTTAATATAACTAACTGCTTTGTATGTGGAGGTACAAATTTGGGAGACCAATGGCCATGGGAAGCGAGAGAAGTATGGTACCCTGGTTCTGAGACAAATGAGCAACAGATGCCTTCCCACTCCAGTAATCAAGCAACCATACAAAATCGGAATGGCAATTAAAAACATCCATAATCGGTCATGTATGCTTAGCTAGGGGAGGCCCAATGTATAAAACACCTGTAGGCGAGTTGACTTGTCTAGGGCAGAAAGCATATAATGCTAGTAGCCATAATACCACCTGGTGGTCAGCTTCGAATGTCTCAGAGCCTACCAACACTTTTGTTAATTAAACCAATTTAAGAGAGGTATTGTTTGATCTATCGGCTACATCTAACGGTTGGAAGGTAAGAAGGAGTATTCAGAATAACCACAAGATTGGGGGTGGGAGGGCATGTGTGCTAGGTATGCTCAAACCATCTTTCTTCTTGTTATCAATCCAAACAGGAGAGACCTTGGGAGTTAAGGTCTATGATGTAAACCATTGGAAGAAGTGAGTACCATTAAATATAGGTAATTGGAAAAAGATGATGAATGGCCACCCCAGCGAATTATTAATTACTATGGACCTGCTACTTGGGCTTAAGATGGTACTTATGGTTATCGAAACCCCCATATACATGCTCAACCGCATCATAAGATTACAGGCGGTGGTTGAGATCATAACCAATAAGACAGCTGAAGCACTTAACCTCCTGGCAAAACAGAATACCCGTACGAGGTCAGACATTTACCAAAATAGGCTGGCTCTTGACTATTTATTAGTGGTAGAAGGAGGTGTGTGCAGAAAATGTAATCTTAGTAATTGCTGTCTGCATATAGATGACGAAGGGCAAACTGTGGTTGAGCTTAGTAGCCACATGGTTAAATTAACGCATGTACCTACTCAGATCTGGAATGGGTATAACTTGCAGTATATGTAAAGTCTGAAAAATTGGTGCAGCTAAAGCATGTTCTAAAGTCAGTACATTTGTTTATCTTTCAATAATTTGAATCTGTAGTTTTTCCATGTATTTTGCATCATATTTTATATATACACGGTGACCCAAAAGTACGTATTCAGTTGAATCAGTGAAATGCATCACAACAGATTATATGGGTATACATACACACTAAAACACAACAAAGTGGCAGTTAAATTTCAGGCACTTAAATATCGGTGTGGCAGTTAGAAATCGTAGTGGAGGGTAGATAAAAGAATTTGGAACGTATAATGCAAAGTTACATATACCGTTGGGCAGCCCTGTAAATACAATTATGTAAATATAGACTAGTGATTAGTGAATTATCGCCAGGAGTCACCGCCTCTTTACTATACATCCGTGTTCTTTATTTCAGTTCATCTTTAAATACAAAGCTCCTATATTTATGAAAAAACTTGTAAATGTGCAATAAGTGTAAATTTGATGTTACACCATTATTAAGTGTTCTTGCAAGAACACTTATTGTTATCTCACATATATATTATTCTTATTATAGCCAAATTTGCCACCCTAACTCCTCCCACAGTTTTTACACTACATAGACCAAAATTTACCAAAACGTGCAGATTGTTCCCGATCGGATTGCTATTACTTTGTGGAACGTTTCGCCGAATGGTTCACGGAATATCGTCGTTCTTGTGGCGAAATTTGTCCCATAGGAATGAATGGCAAAGCTAGAGTGGGAGCTGGCAAAAGCTGAAAAATCAGGACATGATTTCTAAACTGCCACCACTCCCTTATTTTCAGGCCCACCTACACAAATCTTATATCAAAACGTTCAGCTATCCCTGCTGCCACTAAACATGTCAACGGCTAAGCCGTAGTCCTGATAGTTTTCACAATATAATCATTTGTTTGCAACCAACGCCGTCCATTGACATTCATTGAAACTTCACTCTGCAAAGCTCAAATTTGAAGTGCAATTTCTAAACTGCGACTGTGCCTTCAATTTTAATACTTCAGAGACATACTATGCATCAAAATGTAGGTCTGGGTCTTGTGATTCTCACAATATAAAGCTCTTCACTGTAGGAGTTATAGTTTTTAAGATACGACCATTTGAAGATGGCAACCGCCAAAATACTCTGACCTGTGTCAGGCTGCAGCAGCAAGTGATGTCATAGACAGGGCCTTTTG